GAGGACAAGGCAGCACGATCTCGCGGGGACAGCGAGCTCGTACGCCGTGGAGGGGCGAGACCCCTCTCACGCAGTGCGCAGCAGAGTCTTGGCCAGCGGTTCCTCGGATCCGAGTCGTAGGAGGGCTGCGCTAGACCACACAGGCGAGGCCGATCAGACACGCGGCACGCAGTTGAATACACAGCTGCACATGTCCAACGGGTTTCTTCACGTGACGGGTGATCTCCGGACACTGCTTTGTGCCCAATCTCCCATCCACCAAGCGCCGTATAACCGCCGTGAGAGGTGGATACGCCTGCGTTCCCGCTGGGCTTGGTGGATACGCCAGCGGATTGCGGTGCAGGTGCAGCGCTTGCACCGCACACCTCATCATGTGCAGGGGCTGGCGGCAGAGCCGTCTGGGGCCGTGGATGCGTCAAAGCAGGCCAGAAGAAGGGGTGCGAGAGAAATGGAAGACGCTTCCAGGTAACAAAGCACCCACGTGTGATGCTTCTTACACTACATGATTTGCTTCTTAACTGTTCGCAGTGTTGTGCTTCAAAGACTAATATTGCACGAGTAGCGAGTATGCCGCTGACCTCCCTCGAACCTCGAGAAGGCGGGACAGCGTCCAGGGGCTCCCCATCGTGGCGGCTGTGGGCGAGGTCCGGGCGCAACGCCGAGACGAGGACTGATCTAGCGCACGGTGGACAAGAAATCGAGGGGGCGCGGGAGAGGCTCATCTGTGGTCGGCGGCCCGAACTAGGGGCGCGGCACGAGGGGGTACGGCCTTCTGATCAGGCGGGGGAGCTCCTGAGAAGGCAGGGTGGCCTTCTAAGAAGCCTCCTCGCGGAGGACTCGGAGTGAGCCTGCCCGGACGCCGGTGCCCGCGAAGCGAAGGGAATGAAGAACTTCGCGTGGTTTCCCTCGGCCTCCCTGTCAGGCCAGTCCGCCTCGCCCTTAGCCGAGCGCATGTACGCCACGCGGAGGTTGATGCCCACCAGTCCTGCAAGCCTGCGCTCCTCGTAACCAGGGATGCTTTTCATTGACTTCACGATCTCGGCCGCGACGTCCTCGCAGGTCCACCCGTTGCCGTAGTTTGCCTCCGTCATGCCGAGGTTCGCGGGGACACGGAGAACCAAAGAGCAGCCCAAGCACAAACTCTCGAATGACCGCGCAGATTTCTTCGGTGAGAGGGGGAACGATAGGGGGGGACTGACAAAGGGGGGAAACATCGACCTGGAATCGCCGGTAGAACGGCGCTAGGCCCCCGACAGCGAATCCGCACCTTCCTGGGCAGGTTGGGGCTATTGGGCCGCTGTCGACGATCATCAATGGGCGACGGGGGGTCAATGCATCCCCCCCTATGCCCATCCCCCCCTTACATTGCCCCTGCCCAGCCCCTGCAGGGCGGTCAGGTCTGGCATATGCACCGGAACCCTGCGACCCAGGCGCCGCAGGTTTGCGCACCAGGCCCCATGCTCATGTCGGGCCCTGTACAGCCGTCGCAAGTCGATCCGGCGCGAGAGACGCCGCAGAAAGATGTGGTCTGTCGGGGATGGACAGACCTCCCTTTAGTAAAACGTGGTTTAGTGGAAACGACCTGAGGCCCAAACCTGGCGGGCACAAGCCCGGAAAAGAACGGCCACGGCGCCCTCTCGAGAACCGACAACGGACAATTCACTAATCGACGTGTCACTATTGGGGGTTCTGTCCACCCCCGACATATGCCCATCCCCCCCGTCCCGTTGCCCCTGAGTGGGTCGGCGCTGGGCCCCTTCCCCACACGCCTGGCGGCGCCTCTGACGCCGCCCCCACGCAGGGGACGGGGTGCGGGATGGGAGGGCACGCAGGGAACCGATGCCGCCGCTCCTTGGGCCTCTCCCGGGGTGCACTCAGAACCTGGACTTCGAGGAGAACCTGGCCGTGGCGACGACGAGGAGCCCTCCAGGACGAGCCGCGGTATCGGCACCTTGTCCTACTCTGAGATCCAGCGCCGCCCCAGACATCCACGCGACCTCCGACGAAATCATGCTTCTGCAGATGTTTGGCTCTCTGGGGATCGAATTCGGGTAGCTTAGGACAATCTCCACATCGACGCCTCGCTCGTAGATTGCGCGGCCGATCGCGTCCACGTACTTTTTGGGCCAGCCAGTGCCCGGCACCGCACGCGGCCTGCCACCCACAGGGATGGCGATGGGCCCAAGGTCCTGCAGAGACATCTTGATCGACTTCTGGGCAGACTCCAGCATTGCGACAAGCGCGGAATCAGATGGATTCGCATCATCCTGGCAGTGGTGGAGGCTGCCATATCTGCCGCAAGTAATCATGGGAAAGAGACCCTGCTCCACCGCATCTGACAATGGTATCAAATCTGGGGGGCGCATGTAGGTCGGTGGGTACTCTTCTTTCAGCTCTACTTCTGGAGGCCAACGGCAAATTCCGACGCGGGACTTGTACGCCATGGGCATCCAATCTGGTGCCCTAAGCCGTGTGATTGTTAGACGGTCCTTCTTTTCAACAAACTTCCACATGCGATTACAGAAGATGTGACCATCTTGTGCAACTTGCCCCTCTGCCTCCATTGTGAGGTCGCGTACCGGGTTGAACTGCAAATAATGCGGGTCCCAGACATTGTGGCCGCCCTGCAGCAAATACTTGCCATCGACTGCGATTATCTTCGAATGGTTCCACGATACCCCTTTCCGCCAGGAGCCCACATAAAGTTTCAGCCTTGATTTTTCGGGATCCAAGCCCTCGGTGAGGGCTGCACAGAGGGCGTCGTTATCGGTGGGCATCCCGATGATGTTCCCAGTCAGGACACGTACGGTCACACTTTTCCCTGATTCAGAAATGGTCTTAATCGCCGCTCGAATATGCTCAAGAAACTTGCCATCGGGTGGCCCCAGGCTTGCGAAGTCGACCCACTCCTCGGCTTGGGAGATGAGTTCGCCCATCTTCTTGGGGAAAAAATCTGAATGGGTGTCAGCGATGTCATTGCCCAAGGGCTCCTGATAGAACGCCCCTGGTGGTGTCTGGACTATCTCACCCACGCACGTGCCATGGGTGCTGTTCCAGCAGACCCCTTTGTACTTCGCATGTTTGGAGGCCAGCACCTTGTATGCGGCCTCTCCCACATGCGAATAACACTCCACGGGAGGGGTGTCGTCAGAGTCGCACGGGAGCGCCTGCTCATCTTCGTCAGACGCGGTGCTGAAAACCTCCTCTGCCATGCCATGAATGTGAGAAAGTCTCTCGTGGATGCTCCTCCGCATCTCTGCAGCGAAAACCGTTCGAAGACGCCTCCTCGGGCCCCACACGCGCCTCCGACTAGGCCTCGAATGGCCTGGGCCAAGACTGCTATGGGAGAGCGGGCCACGGCTTGCGCAACACTACCGGTACAACGTCGGGGGGGGGGGGGCAAAGGATAACGACGCCGCTGCTCACCTGGATGTGCACTCTGCCCAAGGTTCCGAGGCAGATCCAGCTGCAACGACGAGGGCCCGCACCCAGGAAGCCCAAAAAGCCGAGAACAGGGTAAGATTGGACGGGGGGTTAAAACGCATGTGTATGTAGATGCTTTTGTTCAGGAGGAGTGCGCGACCACGTGAGCTCGACTCGCCAGGGCTGACGTCACCACACGAGTCCGAATGACGCCAGGCACACGGGAAACTCCGCACGAATACCGATCCGCATGTGTATACGTAGGTATGAATACTGTGTGCACTGTTGTACACATATACGAGCTCACAGTGTTGAAATAGAGGTTTTCCCCCTATCCTAAGATGGGGTTATTATCATTACTTGGACGCCTCCTACTCCCCCTCTTTTTTCTTCTCCTTCTCCTCTTTCTCCCCTCCTCATATCCGGACTTACTCATACACAGACTGACTCACACTTTGACATACTCATACACAAATTTATTCACACACAAAATTACTCTTACTCAGACCTACTCATACTCAGACCTACTCGTACTCAGACTTACTCATGGTGAGACTCACGCACGCCCCGTTCGCGGCCGTTTTGTGGGGATGTCTCAAGCGGTTTGCCTGTCTTCTGTCCTAACATCCTTCGTTTTCGGAGCAGATTTGGAGGATGTCTCGAGCGAGGCGCTGGTTTCAGCTCCCCGTGAGGGGAGCCGCCAGGGGTTACCTCACGGTCCCGTTCGCGGCCGTTTTGTCGGGATGTCTCAAGCGGTTTGCCTGTTTTCTGTCCCGAATATCCTTCGCTTCCAGAGCAGATTTGGAGGATGTCTCGAACGAGGTGCTCGCTTTCACCTCCCAGGTGGGCCAGATGTTGAAAATGTCTCGATCGGTTTGCCTGTTTTGGTGGCAAGGCTCGTGGGCACAGATTCTTCGCAGGAGGCCACAGGAGGCTCCAACAGGCTCCAGGAGGCCCCGGGAGACCACATCAGGTCCCAGGAGGCATCAGGAGGCCACAGAAAGACTCAAGAGGCCACAGGATGTCCCAAGAGGCTCCAGGAGGCCCCAGGAAGCTCTAGAATGCTTCAGGAAACAACAGGAGGCCCCAGGAGGCCACAGGAAGCGCCAGGAGGCTTCGGAAGGCAACAGGAGGCCCCGAGGGGCTCCAGGAGCAGGAGGCCTCAGAAGGCAACGGGAGTGGTTCCAATCCCATGTGTTTTACTTGTGTTCCTATCGATTGGGCCTCACCTGGAGCACGATTCCTTGATGTTGTACGCGTGTTTCTACAGATTGCCCTTCTCCTGCGTACACAATCCTACATGTTGTTACGTTTGCTCCTATAGTGTGGGCCTCTCCTGGGGCACGAGCCCTTGGTGTTTTACGCGTGTTCCTGTAGACTGCCATCCTCCTGTGGCTCTAATCCGGAATGTTTTATATACGCTTGCTGCTATAATTTGGGCCCGTCCTGGGGCACGAAACCTCCCTAGGAGGTCCCAGGTGGCCACAAGAGGCCCCTGGAGACCCCAGGACGCCTCAGTAGGTTTCAAGAGGCCCCAGGAGGCCCCAGGCTCATGCGCAGAGACGCGCTCGCACTACTAAGGCTCATTCACGCTCCAAGCCATTCGCAATTAGATGCATGTCCAGACCGTCACAACTGAAGTCCGCGTACATTCAAAAGCCCTTGCGCCTAGACATTCACGGCGGACAGGCACATGCGAATAGATGCACCTATGGGGAGCTCCACGCAGTGAATAATTCTCCCTCGCAAGCGCGCGAAAGGCCAAACGGGCCCCCTCCCGACGCGGTCAGAGGCCCCTGTCAAAACGGCGGCGGGGGAGAGGCAAGACAGCATGCCAGTGCCTATCATCAACAATGACTCTCGCCTTTTCTCTGCCTCGAACCCCGCCCGCCCACGCCCAGATCTCTGTGCACAAACATACAAGTGCTGTGAAACGCATGGATGGATTCGCGAGGCTTCTGCTCGCACGACCAAGTCACCAGCTGCTCACATGGATTCGCGAAGCTATTGCTCGCGCGACCGGGGCCGCCAGCCGCCAATTGGGCGTGCACTTTCGGGGCCAGCCTTTCCCTTGCCCGCCGTTGAGACGAGGACTTCGCGCATGCGTCTTCATCATCATGTGCCTGTTCTGCATCCCCATCGTGCTGGACGGCGACGTCGCGGGAACTCCGTTCCTCGGCGCGCCGCGCCATCGCCCTGGCTACTTTCACCCAGGCGTGAATGTCACGTTCCGCGGGGAACTCCGTACCTGCGTACAGACTAGAGATCGAGGCTATACAGATCGGTGCCACGCAGGTTAACCGCGCACTGGCGCTCCGCACTGTGAAGCGTCACCGACGCTCTGCACGGCACCGCCGTGCGTCTGCTGCCCTGACTTCCAGGCGCAACTCACGCAAATTGCGGCCGCTCACTGGCGTTCCGCACTGCGAAGCGTCACCGACGCTCTGCACGGCACCGCCGTATGTCTGCTGCCCTGACTTCCAGGCGCAGCCGCGTCACCGACGCGCAAGGGCCTAAATCACCGACGCTGCGCACAGCACCGCTGTGGGCTTGCTGTCCTGATTTCCAGGCGCAGCAGTCTGTAGACGCGTGGATCGAACCAGCTTCACTGAAGTTCCACTACCAATGTTGAAGTAGAGGTTCTTTACCCTCGCAAACGCGCGACAGGCCAAAGGGGCCCCCTCCCGATGCGGTCAGAGGCTCCTGTAGGAGCCAAAACGGCGGCGGGGAGAGAGGCAGGAGAGCATGCGAATCCCTATCATCAACATACATAGTTTCCTGTCGTTGGGACACACTTTTAGAGATGACGATCCAAGAATATCAATGACGGCGACAACGACAAAGACGACGCCCACGAGCAGGCCTCGAATTCGATGTGTCACGCCAAAGACATTGCTGCGTGACGGCCCACCCAAGCATTTTTGAATCCTCGTCGCACATGTTTAGCAATATCGGAACCGGACATTTGTCTCCTCCGAGCTGCTGGTGCACTAAGACCAACAGAGCTAGGCTTGCCCGGCTGTCCCCTGGTCGTCTCCCCTTCGCCTCGCCGCCTCAGGACCCTGCTAAAACATCGAGGACCCCAACACCTCTCGAGGGGTGCGCCCTGGCCATAGCTTCGAGGTGGAGCCCCGCCGCGGCGACGGAGAAGCATCCCGGATGTCCGCAAAGGGCGAAACACATCCACAACTCGTTCCCGAACCTTGCTCCCCAAACTCAGCTCCTCCTCCAAAGCCCTCCCTTCCCCCACTCCACATCGTGCTCCCCCGCCCCCAGGCCAGAGAGAGCCGAGCACCGACGGTGCTGCCTGATCCCCAAGCCGTTCTGTGTCCGGCTGCGTTTCCTCAGGGCGAAGACGATTGCACACTGATAGTGCAGGTTGGCCCCCTCCCACATTCAGTGTACAGTTGTGTCCTCCTCCTACGCCTCCTCCTCCTCCTCCTCCTCCTCCTCCTCCTCCTCATCCTCCTCCTCCTCCTCCTCCTCCTCCTCCTCCTCCCCCTGCCCCCCCCTGCTTGGACAGCAGGGGCCCCATCATTGACTCGGGGGTAGCCGGGGCACCCCCTGCTGGTGGAACCAGCGAGGCGGTCGGCGCCGGCTCGAGGGCGGGATAGCAAAACCAGGAGCTGCACCTGGATGAATGCAGTGGGCGACCGACCCAAGGACCAGCGGAGGTGGGGCCCTGTTCAGGCTTTGGGGTGTGCCTCCCCCAGGGGTGGGGGGATGGCTGCGGGGAAACTGTGCCCCTCCCCTTCTCTCTCCTGGCTCCTCCTCTCCTCCCCCCCCTCTCCCTTCTTCCCCCTGGGGCTCACCGTCCCCCTGCGGTCCACTCCCCCGCTGGGGTTGAGGGCCAGCGGCCCCGCGGCGGCGGCCTGTGAATGTTGGTGAGGATCACCAACGCCGCCGCCGCGGGGGGAGGCGCGTGGCGCCCGCGAGCTTTGTTGCTGCCATCGAAGTGAAGGCGTGCCTCCGCACGGAGGCGGGAGTGCACCGAGCTTGCTCACAGTGGCACACGGATAGCCTCGGCGATGGCACATTGCTCTTGTGCGGGCAGGCTGCGCTGTGTTTCGCCTCGTGGGGAGGCAGTTTTCGGAACGAGGGCGAGGACAGTGGTCCGCATCCAAAGAGTCCTCCTCCTCCTCCTCCTCCTCCTCCTCCTCCTCCTCCTCCTCCTCCTAAGTGGGTTCATGCTGGATCACGACGGTTTTCGACCACGCATATACCAGCGCCGATGCCGAATTGAATATCCGAGGAACTGCAACCGAGGCGTTGAGAGGAACATAGAACGAGCTATGCGTATCCTGAGGCGGCCTGAGCCAATATGCCCAATGACTGGGACGAACGCCCACGAGCTGGTTCGCCACCTCAACGGGCTGCTCTGGCCCCTCCGGGTCCTTCTCAGCCCCAGCCCCTTCCACTCCGGCTACCACTTCCAGAGCCCACCTGGGGAGGGGCCGATGAATGAACAATAGATAATGAATAAACTGTTTACAGTGGGTTACAAACCATGGGTCATGAGTAACGACAAAGCCCTGGTCCGCAGACCCTTGTTTGCAGGACGAGGAGGAGGAAGAGGAGGATGAGGAGGCGGCAAGAGGAAAAGGGAGGATGATAATGAAGCGGAGAAGGAGAAGGAGGGGAAAGAGGAGGGAGGATGATGGAGGAGGGGCAAGGGGAGACGATGGAGGACGAGGAGGAGGAGGAGGAGGAGGAGGAGAAGGAGGAGGAGGGGGGAGGAGGAGAAGCGAGGAAAATAGTTTGGATGACTTTTCGATCGGACCACAGTCCATTCGATACATCGGCGCCGCAGTCAGCAGGGAGGCCCGACCTGAACCTGATCAGCTCGGGACCAAGGGAGACGAGGACGAGGAGGAGAACTCGAAGACTCGACGTTTCCTTCAAGTATTCAGGAGAGGATGGTCCCCAGGTGGTGCACGCAAGAGTGATCCCAGGCAAGAGCGCCACATCGCGCGGTGGCTTGACGATCGCTGCACACGATGCCGCAGCAGCCGCCTGCGCGCCCGAGTTTCACCCCTCCCCCCGAGCCGTTCGAACGCCGCGCACCAAAGGTTATTCTGGCGAAGAGTCACTAACGTACGTGTAGCCGACTCCCTCTGGGGTCAGGCCTTCGGGTCATAACTCGGACTTCCTGCGGCCGTTCGGGACGAGTCAGGCACCCCCAGACCGCAGTCGGCGAAGCGCAGCTGCTGGAACGCATCCAAAATTGGGAACATCTCCAGGAGCCGACGCACACGTCCGAAACCGTCTAGCCACGAGCCCCAGGCAACTCCCGCGACGCTTGCGTGCAGCCGAATGTCCCGCGCCGCTGCTTAGGCCCCCTCCCCGGGGCGCTCACCAGAGAGGGCAGAGCGGCTCAATGTCCAGGCGCCCGTCCACTCGCGGCTAGGCCCGCGCCTGCGGCGGGACAGTGGATTGGCGGCGAACGGCTGGACGAGGACAGGGGCGGGAGGAGGGGACTAAGCGCGTCGGCAGATCGATAGCGAAGGTAGATGCGAAGGACGGGTAGGGGAAGGAGGAGGAGGAGGAGGAGGAGGGGACAAGCCACATCGATTACAAAAGTGAAGGCTGAGTCAGAAGGGGAGGATCAGGAGGACGACCACGATAAGCCCACGACTCAGCATCAGCATCAGTATCAGCATCAGCATCAGCATCCTCATCAGCATCATCAGCATCATCATCAGCTTCAGCATCAGCATCGGCATCAGCATCATTATCATCATCATCATCATCATCAGCAGCAGCAGCATCGTCATCCTCATCAGCATCACCAACATCGTTAGCATCACCACCACCATCGTCATCGCCATCCTCATCATAATCAGCAGCATCGTCATTAGCATCGTCATCGTCATCATCGTAATCAGAATCATCAGTATCATCGGCATCGTCATCGTCACCATTATCGTCGTCACCAGCATCATCAGCAGCAGCATCATCAGCATCAGCATTGTTATCAACATCATCATCAGCATAAACATTATTCTCAATATCGCCTTCATCGTCGTCGCTTGCTCATCACCATCACCAACACCATGACTATCGTTATCCTCCTCCTTTTATTCCTCCTGTTGTCCCCCTCCTTCTACACATCCACTGCGTCCAGAGACTCATCATCATACTGATCCTCTTCCTCCTCTTCACCGATCAGCCCTGGAAGTCTCGGGATCTCTCGAGAGGTCTCCAATAGGGTCTCCAACAGGCTTCCAAAGCCTTCGAGGGCCCCCCCCGAAAAAGGTCGAGCACGCTCGAACACCCAGACTCATCCGAAGGACCGACTGCATCAGTCCGAGCGGTCTCCCTTCACTTCGGCCTCGGGGGCCGTCTTCGGGCCCCGGGGCTATCAGAGACAGAGCGAGGCACTACCCTCGGGGATATGGTCGAGACCGCTGGGAACACGGATGCTAAAATCACATCGCCGGACGTTGGGGAATATCGATCCCCTCGATCCCCGACCTGGGAGGCTGGGGGGACGAAAAGAGAGAAACGGGTCCCGGACCTGGACCGCAGGGCTGTTTTCCCCGGACCAGCTTCTCGTCCTCGATGCGGGTCGAGTGGCGTCTTGACGGTCAACCGAGCCGACCAACTTCAGCCGGCGAAGCAGCCGGCCCCGACCGAACCTGGGGTACCCGCGGGGACGAGGCGGACGAGGAGAGGAGGAGAACCTGAGGTCGGGGGATGAAGGGGGAAGAGTGAGAGGAGGAGGGGGGACCGAGGATCAAAGCTGGAAGTCTCTAGACAATTCGGACCCATGTTGGGGATGCCTCCCTGGAGAGGCACGGCTGCAGAGGCAATTCCGCAGAGGGCACCCTGGGCCCCACGATGGAGCATACGCCCTCTCGGCCAGGGCCAGGACGGTCTGTGCACCATCCTGAGGCCCAGGATGGCGCTGGCCAGGCGTGGTGGTGTGTGGATGCCATCTGCGGGAGAGTCGGAGGGGACGGAGGAGGGGGGGAGGGGAGGATCGAGACTCGGGGATCAAAGAACTTGGACGTCCAGGGTCCTCCTTGGGACGCCAGGAGGAGGAGGGGGAGAAGGAGGAGGAAGAGGAGCAGGTGAAGGAGGAGGAGGAGCATGAGTCAAAGTCAGCGGACCTAGGGACCGTGGCATCAAGGGCGGCGCCGAATGAATCAAGGCCCGGACGAGGCCTTAGCTCACTGGGCTAAAGGGCCTCGTGCAGTGGATCATCAGGATGCCCCTCCTGGGCTTGCCGACCTATGGGCCGATGCCGTCCTGGACCGCAAAAAAAAAAAAGCTCTGGCTTCTGGCGCACTGGCCGCACGCCTGAGGGTCGTGGAGGCTTGGGTTTGGGCACCAACACCAGCTCAGAGGGGTGCCCCCCTGGGAAAATGTGATCCTAGATTTTGGTGATGGTGGTAATCTTTCGGTCACCTAGGAAGCCCCAATCGTACCACCATCACCGAGATCGGGATCCTCTTCCCTCGGTGAAGGCAACCGCCGATACTGGTGTTGCTGCCAACCTCTGGGTCTCCGAGAGAGCTTCTTCTCATTCGCGGCGATAACGGGCGTTATGGGGGGCAGAGGGAGGGGAGGGGGGGGCGGGAGAGGGGCAAAGCGTAACGCTCTGCGGCAGTGCCGGGGACGCACAGGGGCTGGAGGGAGCGTTACATTATGGGGCGGAAGGAGGGGGGAGGGGGGAGGGGGGGAGGGGGGACGGGGAGCATAACGCGCTTTATGGCCCCAGAGGGAAAGAAAAAACACTCTCCGAGGTCAAGAGGGCGCGCCTGCAACATGCGCCATTGCGCAATCACTGCTCGCAATTGCAAATTGCTGTACACGTGCCGACGCGGAGGAGAACACGGCCTGTTCGCCGCCGCCCGTCGCGGGCCGCGGCGCATACCCTGGCGGGGGGGCCACGAGCGTGCTGGCATCGTTGCGCCGCCGAGAGCCCCTACACCTGGACATCGACCTTCCACCTTCGGTGTCCGTTCCATGGAAGCCTGCGTGACCCCTGGCGCTGTCAGATTTGGGCCTGGCTTGGACCAGATCTGGAACACGTGTGGGACCAGGGTCGGACCTGATTTGGACCGGATTCGACCCTTCACAAGGGAGACAAGAAGAACCGAGGAGGGGGAGAGGGAACAGGAGGGGCGAGGAGGAGAAAGAGGAAGGGCCAAATGCGAGCCAATGCGGTCTAAATGCAGAAAACGTTGACTTCAAGATCGCCTCTCCAGGCTCCCGCGAACGGACATCCAATCCACCTGCAGCTCTTGGGCGGGAGCTTCACCCTCGCCGACTCCACGTCCACCTCGAAGCCCCCGTCCTGCACGGAGAGGGGTGGAGCCGGCCGGAGGGCGAAGCCGGCTCAGCACCGGGGCCAGCCAGCTAAAGAAGGGGGGAGAGAAAGGGCCCCCATCGGCGCCACGGCCGAGCGGGAGGGGGTCGGGGGGACGAGGCCGAGCGGCTTTGCCCCTGCCCCCTCCTCTTGACCGATTTTGTCCACGGCCCATAAACCTAACAAATTACCCCAAAATAATCCAAACATAGTCTGGGGACTATTTTTTTGCATATTGTTTGGCCTCTTTGGGATATTTCTGGGGTATTCCTTATTTGTCGTCGAAAATCCCCCTGTAGGGGGACACGCCCGACTTAACTCTACGAACCCCCGAAGGGGGCAGGCACCCCCGGTGTCTTCCGCACAGCACTTCCATCGCCATGCATGGCCGCACGGTGTGCGCGCCCCCCTGGCCAACGCGAGGAGGGTGCGAGGGGGGAACAGAACGATGCCGATGTCGCTACTGCCCAGAACTCCACCACTGCGCTTTCTGACCAGAAGAGACGAATCCAGCCGTGGCGACGAGGGAAGGGTAGCGGCATCGGTGTAAGATGCCCTCCTCGATATGAATAAAGCCCAGGACGTCCCGGGCCATACCTGGTGGTGACGGATAATTAGGTGACTTCCAGGGCATACGAAGCTGCAAAATTGCTCACAGCGTGGATCCCCAAAGGTCTGGGCCGCTTCCCAGGGACTGGCGTTTCATCCCGAGTCCTTTTGCAAGGTCCTGGGACCCGGTAAGGCAGACAATTGGTGAACGACGTCCGTCGTGATTTCTTCACGACCAAAGGCCTGGACCCCCTCTGGAGGCCGAGAATTGCAGAAATCCCTCCGTCGTGACTTTGTCCACTGCGCGATGTTTTGACGACGTCCTCCGTGAGGCGCACGGCCGTGAAGCCGGCCTGCAGGTCGCTGGGGCAGCAGCCGCCGCCGCCGCCCGTCATGATGGTGTCGCAGACACCCCTTGTTGGAAGGGCGCCAGCCGTACACCCAGTCATACCGTGGCCAGGCCGATGCGGGGCCCAGGATCGGCGCACGCGCCCTCCTGGCCTGGCTTATGAGGTGCCAACCTGCTTTAGCCTTGATCGCCAGAAGCAATTTCGAGCACCAAGAGGGCACCGAAGCTTGAGGGTTTTCTCGTGTGGCGCCTTTGGACGCGATGCTCGTTCGACACTGTTTCGATACTTTTCTGGGTGCTCGGAACTATTTCTGAGATGTGGTTCTTCAGTACGATGGGAACATCATGAGGCTTGGCCAGTGACAACCTGTACACACCGATGGCCGGCCCCAGGATCGGTCTGACAAGGGCCCCTGCCAGGGAGACACGTGCACCGATCCTGGGCCCAGGATCGGCCCAGCCTCCTCCTCCTCCTCCCTCCTCCTCAAGCCGCTTGGGCCCGAACGAGTTTGGCGGGGTCCATTCTCCTGAGCTTCCCCGAAGCGCTTGAGGGACTTTGACCGCACCCCCGCCGAGGAAAGGTGCAGCACCGATCAGTGCAGGAGAGAATCGTTCCCATAGTGATGTCTTCCGCCCGCATGTGGACCCGCTGCAAGGGTTGCGGCCAATGCGAATACAGCGACATCCTTCAGTCCTAGTCGTGCATCTGTTCGAGCTGCGAAAGCCAAGTCACGTTGTTTCGTCCTCACAGGTCTCGGACAGTTCGCTTCCATGGTGATTCAGAGGAGGAGGCCCCGCTCGTGCACCCGAAGGGGATCCTCCGCTCGCGCAGCCAGTCGCCTGCCAGTGGTGCGGGCAGAGGTAAGCGTGTGAGTCGCAAGCCGCCGCGGAACAAGCCCGCGGAACCCGTCAGCACGCTGCTCGAGAGGGCGGCGGAGGCTGCTCATCACGAGGAGCTGAGGGCCAGTTTGCAGGCGCAGGCGAAGCAGCTTGAAGTGAAGGCGGTGCTCAAGGGCAAGGGCGACGTCTCGGAGGTCGAGCTCTTGCGCCGTGCAGATGGAGTGTTTCGCGATGCAGATCACAAACATAATCAGGCAGTTGCCAATATCGTCCGCCTCAAGAGGCCTATCGAGGCGGCCCGGGTGAAGCAGCGGGAGACCGCCAAGGCCTTGGCCGAGGCCTCGCGGGCGCGCCGCGCCGCTGCCCAGGCCCTCGCTCACGCCCAAGGCGTTGGAGCAACGGGCGCGGCAGGCGCGGACGCGAGTGGGGCTACCAACGGAGATGAGGCGAAGCTCTTCAAGGTCGCCTGGGACCGCGGATTGTTTGACGCCTCGAACGAGCTGGAGCGCGAGGAGAGTGAAGGAAGGGTAAGAGATTCGTCAGCGCCTTCCCGCGACGGGAGCCGAGATGAACACCAAGGACTCAGAGGTGCGCGCTTGGCTGAAGCAGGTGGAGGCATACAAGGCGGAGATCGCCAAAAGGACGAGTAAGAAACGTCGTGCAGATGAGCCCCCCACGCCCGAGGCTTCTGCGGCACAAGAGGCCCCGCCGCGCGCCCTGGAGAGGCAGCAGCGGCGGCGGCGAAGGCTAAGGAGGAGGAGGAGGATGAGGCAGTTGCTGTCGAGGCCAAGAGGTTGTCGGCGTCCAAGCTCGCGGCCGAGACCCTGCTTCAGAAGCAGAAGGGTAAGGCGGGCAAGGGCGAAGGTCCCGAAAGACTAGTGACCGAGCAGCAACCGGGCGGACTCCGAGGTCCAGGGGGGCATAGTCTTCGTCTGTTCCATGCCAACGTTACCTGCGTGGGTGAAAGGCGTGGTCACTCGTCGAGCAGACAAGTTCTGATGGTCTTTGTCGAAACACACGTTCATTCAGCTGCTGGCCTTCGCAAATGGGAGTCGAAGGCGAGAGAGTTGGGCTACCGTTCCATATAAAACGCTGCCAGGCAGCGTGAGGCATCAATTCGCACAGCGAGTCAAGCAGAGCATGCCAACGAGGGATGTGAGCTTCTGCTGTCCAGGTCACACATGCAGGTGCATCGGGTCTCTGCTATTCGTTCAGCTGGCAGTCGGCTGCAGGCACCCGGATACAAGAGCACAGGCGGGTTTGCAGCTCAGGTTGTTCACTGTCGAGACTTCTCCCTGGTGCTGGTGACGTGCTACGCTCATTCGCGTTTGGAAATGCGAGTCAACATTGGTCGTTTCCGAAGGTTGGCTGGTTTCTTGTTTGCATTACAGTTACCGTGGACGGTTGTAGGTGATTGGAGCATGGCCGCGAGCTACTTGGACAAAAACAGGCCTGTTCAGAAGCTAGGAAAGGTCATTCTTCAGGCTGGTATCCCTGCCGCTTGCAATCCGGCAGGGGGATCCCACATATAGTTCATCATGTGTAGCCAGGCTGCGCGTCCGTTAATAACAGGAGTCACCCCAGTTGTCACCGTGCCGTGGAGTCCTCACATTGGGTTCCATGTCACCTTTCACGGGTCTGGGGAGCAGCTGGTTACAAGGGTCATAAAGGCCCCTGGTAAGCTCCCACAGTTCCCCAGGCCCAACGTGGCTCCTAGGGCAGGCTCCAAATCTCGTCAGTCTCGGGCTCGTAAGCAGGTCCAACAGGCGGCGGCTGAAAAGCGGATGTCCCAGATTAGTTCCTTGTTCGGCGATTGTTTTCAATCCCAAGGGGAGCAACCTCTGGGAGGGGAGTCTCGGGGTGAAAGCGCCTCTCCCGTGGTTGCGAGCACTGGTCTCAATGTAGAGAATGAGGGTGACTGTTTTGACGTGGCTAATTGGCCTGAGGAGAAGGATCCATGGGCCGACGAGCTCAGCTTCTGTCCCGACCAGGCGATTGGCTCAGTTTTGTCAGGTGCTTGCGACAGTAACACCGCTGTGGAGGGTCCACGGGCTGGGGCTCCTGGGTCCTCGGTCCACGGTTGGGCGCGGCGTTCTCTCAGCAGTGATTGCCTCATCTTCGAGTGCACCATCTGTGTCTCACGAGGCGAGTCGGAGTGATGGCAACAGCGAGATGGGAAGAAGCTCGGACGGGGAACCCAGGTCAGCTCGCGAGCCCGCCGATTGCCCACCAGCCCCCTCGTTGCCTCCCGATCCTCCTGTTGCTCATGATGTGTCACAGGCGTCAGAGAATTCGCCCAGCTTCTACATCCCTGAAGAAGCCTGGTCAAGTTGTCGCCAGGAAGTAGGCTTTCAGTCTGGTGTTCATTATAGTTAGTCCCTTGCTCCTGCTCTCCACCTGCTGCTGCCTCTCTCTCCCTCTGTTCGTCTTCTCATTTTCTGGATGACTCGGGAAGGGCTTGCCGTAGGTGTGTGGAGGGTCGGCGTCAAAGGCCACGACGACTGAGTTTCTCTATAGTCCATGTTTCCAGCCCGTTAACTATAATGGATCCATCTTATATAAGCCCCCCCTATGCCAAACTGCACATCGCTGGGGGGTGGGTGGATCAGTCTCATGCTGTGGTACTGCAAGGCCTGTGGATGCAATGCTTCGGCTGTGCTTCGCCAATTGGGTAAATTGTGCACGGCACGTGTGACTCCAAATCGGGCGGAGTACCTCAGCAGAATTTCTCGTGGCCTTGAACTCAAGGCTTTAAGTGCAGCAGAGAAGCGACAGCGAGGCAGAGCCTGCTGTATGCTGCCTTTCATGTCTCCAGGTGTTTCACGTTGGCGAGCATTCATTGACATTGCCACATGGTCATACTCATACTCATACTCATACTCGTACTCATACTCAGGCTCATACTCCCTCCTCCCTCCTCCTCCTCCTCCTCCTCCTTGTCCTCCTCCTCCCTCCTCCTCCTCCTCCTCCTCCTCCTCCTCCTCCCTCCTCCTCCTCCGCCTTCTCCTCCTCCTTCCTCCTCCTCCTCCTCCTCCTCCCTCGGCCGGTACAAATGTATGGTTGGCGGCCTCCGACCTATCGTCCTCGCCTTCGCACCGCTGGTCGTGCACGTGACCGTAGGCGCACAGCACGCGCACCTGAGCGGCGAGTCGAAACGCGTGGGAGCGCCAACGTGCGCTCCTCGACTAGTGCGACGCAGGCAACGACAGCGAGGGGCGATACAGGCTGCGCGCTACCAGTGGAGCTGAACACACACACACACACACACACACACACACGCGCGCGCGCACGGAGTTCCTCCTGCGGCGAGGTGACGTCATCTTCACGATGCGCCAAGCCAGGTCACGCTTAGGCCGTTTTACACCTGGCGAAACCGACGTGTGGACTGGACGGTGACCATACACTGGAGGCGGCCAGGGGGTTTGAGCTGGTTGGGCCCTGGGCAAATCCGCCAAGAGAGGGGGCGATGACAGCAAGTCCGCTCAAAAACAAAGGACAGCTCGCCCCTTGGCCCCCCGCCAGTGCAACGCCAAGGGGCGAGCATAGATACGGGCGCAGCACCGCGCTGGATGCGTAGCCTTCGGCTGGGCAAGGCAGGGCCCCTATGGCAGAAAACTGCCAGCGAAATATCCTCACCGCCCTGACTTAAATCTGCCAGCGACATATCCTCACACCCCTCGCTAAAATCTGCCAGTGAAATGTCCTCTCAACCTCCCAACTTAAAACTGCCAGCGAAGAATCCTCACCGCCCTCGCTTAAGACTGCCAGCGAAATATCCCCACACCCCTGGCCTAAAACTGTCAGCGAAATATCCCCGCAGCCCTCGCTTAAAACTGCCAGCGAAATATCCTCACAGATCTAGCTGAAAACTGCAGGCGAAATATCCTCACCCCCCTGGCCTAAAACTGCCAGCGAAATATCCTCACCGCCCTGGCCTAAAACTGCCAGCGGCATATCCTCACCGCCCTCGCTCAAAACTGCCAGTGAAGTATCCCCACGCCCGTCGCTTGAAACTGTCAGCGAAAAATATTCACGCCCCTGGCCTAAAACTGCCAGCGAAATATCCTCACCCCCCCGGACTTAAATCTGCCAGTGAAATGTCCTCACCGCCCTCGCTTCAAACTGCCAGCGAAACATCATCACAGCTCTCGCTTAAAACTGCCAGCGACATATCCTCACCATCCTGGCTTAAAACTGCCAGCGACATATCCTCACCGCCCTGACTTAAAACTTCCAGCGAAGATTATCAACACCCCTTGCTTAAAACAGCCAGCGAACTACCCTCACGCGAGATATCCTCAACGCCCTGCTCAAGACTGCCAGTGAACTATCCTCACCGCCCTCACTCAAAACTGCCAGCGAAATATCCTCACGCCTCTGGCCTAAAACTGCCAGCGAAATATCCTCACCGCCCTCGCTCAAAACTGCCAGTGAAGTATCCCCACGCCCCTCGCTTGAAACTGCCAGCGAAAAACCATCACCATTTGGGCCTAAAACTGCCAGCGACATATCCTCACCGCCCTGAAGTAAAGCTGCCAGCGAAATGTCATCACCCCCTGACCTAAAACGGCCAGCGAAATATCCTCAACCCCCTGACTCAGAACGGCCAACGAAATGCCCTCACCCCGGAAATAAAACTGCCATCTAACGGTGTTGGTGATTCAGTTGACAGTTCAGTCAGTCAGTCAGTCAGTCAGTCAGTCAGTCAGTCAGTCAGTCAGTCAGTCAGTCTACTTCCCGAAAATAAAATGAGACCCGATACAAACCCAATCAAAAAATGTTAGGGCTATAGGGCTATGCGGCTACAGTGCCATAGGGTAGTAGGTCTATAGGGCTATAGGGCTTTAGGGCTATAGGGCTATAGGGCCACAGGGCTATAGGGCTGTAGAGCTGTAGGGCTACGGGGCTATGGAGCTCTGGGGCTACGGGGCTATGGAGCTATAGCACCATAGGGCTATAGGTCTACAAGGCTATAGGGCTATGGGGCAATAGGACCATAGGGCTATAGGGCGATAGGGCTTTAGGGCAATAGGGCTATAGGCATGTAGAGCGTTAGGGCTATAGTGCTATAGGGCTATAGGGCTATGAGGCTATGAGGCTATAAGGCTATAGGGCTAGAGGGCTATAGTGTTATAGGGCTATATGGCTATAGAGCGATAGGGCTATAGGGCCATAGGGCTATAAGGCTATGGGGCTATGGGGCTATAGGGCTGTAGGGCTATAGGGCTATAGGGTTACTGGGCTATAGGCTATTGGTCTATAGGGCTACGGGGCTATAGGACTATAAGGCTGTAAGGTTAAAGGGCTATAGTGCGATGGGGCTATTGGGCTATAGTGCGATGGGGGTATTGGGCTATAGGACTATAGGGCTATAGGACTGTAAGCTATAGGGCTATAGGCTATAGGGCTGCAGGGCTACAGGGCTATAGGGCTACAAAGCACCCGGGCACCGGGGCACACGGGCGGGCCGCGGAAATCGGTGGCACACCTCACCTAAGAGAGAGCGCTCCCACAGCGCCGACACCAGGGGGGGGGTCCCCCCTTAGCTACCCCCCCCCCTCCCTTCCACTTCCCCTGCTGAAGGGAGGGGGAGCTTAGCTACACCCCACCCTCCCCTTGATCCCCCTCTGCCAGAAGCTCCCCCCCCCCTTTGGTTCCAAAGAGGGCGGGAGCTTAGCGCCCCCCCCTGGGGGCCAGGGCACAGTTTGAAGAGGAAGATTTTCCCTGATAAATTATCCTGGCGAAAGACCCAACCATAAACAATTGTTGGTAACGCGTTGTGGGTGCCGCTTTCGGTGGGGCTCCATATGGGGCCACGAAGCGCTGCCTTGGATGGGGGAACCGCATGCGGACTGCGCCACCGGGGCGGGCCTTCGGTGGAGCTCCCTATGGTGCCACGAAACGCTGCCCTGGGTGGGGGAAGCGCATGCGAACTGCGCCACGGGGGCTTTCGGTGGAGCTCCCCATGGGGCCACGAAGCGCTGCCCTGGGTGGGGGAACCGCATGCGAGAGCAGCCACTGGGGCCTTCGGTGGAGCTCCCTATGGGGCCACGAAGCGCTGCCCTGGGTGGGGGAACCGCATGCGAACACCCCCACTGGGGCCTTCGGTGGAGCTCCCTATGGGGCCACGAAACGCTGCCCTGGGTGGGGGAACCGCATGCGAACACCCCCACTGGGGCCTTCGGTGGAGCTCCCTATGGGGCCACGAAACGCTGCCCTGGGTGGGGGAACCGCATGCGAACACCCCCACTGGGGCCTTCGGTGGAGCTCCCTATGGGGCTACGAAACGCTGCCCTGGGTGGGGGAACCGCATGCGAACACCCCACTGGGGCCTTCGGTGGAGCTCCCTATGGGGCCACGAAACGCTGCCCTGGGTGGGGGAACCGCATGCGAACACCCCCACTGGGGCCTTCGGTGGAGCTCCCTATGGGGCCACGAAACGCTGCCCTGGGTGGGGGAACCGCATGCGAACACCCCCACTGGGGCCTTCGGTGGAGCTCCCTATGGGGCTACGAAACGCTGCCCTGGGTGGGGGAACCGCATGCGAACACCCCCACTGGGGCCTTCGGTGGAGCTCCCTATGGGGCCACGAAACGCTGCCCTGGGTGGGGGAACCGCATGCGAACACCCCCACTGGGGCCTTCGGTGGAGCTCCCTATGGGGCTACGAAACGCTGCCCTGGGTGGGGGAACCGCATGCGAACACCCCCACTGGGGCCTTCGGTGGAGCTCCCTATGGGGCCACGAAACGCTGCCCTGGGTGGGGGAACCGCATGCGAACACCCCCACTGGGGCCTTCGGTGGAGCTCCCTATGGGGCTACGAAACGCTGCCCTGGGTGGGGGAACCGCATGCGAACACCCCCACTGGGGCCTTCGGTGGAGCTCCCTATGGGGCCACGAAACGCTGCCCTGGGTGGGGGAACCGCATGCGAACACCCCCACTGGGGCCTTCGGTGGAGCTCCCTATGGGGCTACGAAACGCTGCCCTGGGTGGGGGAACCGCATGCGAACACCCCCACTGGGGCCTTCGGTGGAGCTCCCTATGGGGCCACGAAACGCTGCCCTGGGTGGGGGAACCGCATGCGAACACCCCCACTGGGGCCTTCGGTGGAGCTCCCTATGGGGCTACGAAACGCTGCCCTGGGTGGGGGAACCGCATGCGAACACCCCCACTGGGGCCTTCGGTGGAGCTCCCTATGGGGCCACGAAACGCTGCCCTGGGTGGGGGAACCGCATGCGAACACCCCCACTGGGGCCTTCGGTGGAGCTCCCTATGGGGCTACGAAACGCTGCCCTGGGTGGGGGAACCGCATGCGAACACCCCCACTGGGGCCTTCGGTGGAGCTCCCTATGGGGCCACGAAACGCTGCCCTGGGTGGGGGAACCGCATGCGAACACCCCCACTGGGCCTTCGGTGGAGCTCCCTATGGGGCTACGAAACGCTGCCCTGGGTGGGGGAACCGCATACCCCCCACTGGGGCCTTCGGTGGAGCTCCCTATGGGGCTACGAAACGCGTGAGAGGTGCACCGAGAGCAGAGGCAAGGAGGGGGAGGAGGGAGGAGAGGAGGAAGGAGAGGAACGCGGGGCACCGTCTCTTCAAAACGAGGACCCAACACCACAGGATGGTTGGGAAAAAACTAGGTGCGAGCGCAGGGAGCGCTTCAATGAAATTATCCGGGCGAAAGACCCAACCATAAGCAATTGTTGGTAACGCGTTGTGGGTGCCGCTTTCGGTGGGGCTCCATATGGGGCCACGAAGCGCTGCCCTGGGTGGGGGAACCGCATGCGGACTGCCACCGGGGCGGGCCTTCGGTGGAGCTCCCTATGGGGCTACGAATCGCTGCCCTGGGTGGGGGACGCATGCGAACTGCGCCACTGGGACCTTCGGTGGAGCTCCCTATGGTGCCACGAATCGCTGCACTGGGTGGGGGAAGCGCATGCGAACTGCGGCCACGAGGGCTTTCGGTGGAGCTCCCAATGGGGGCCACGAGCGTGCCCTGGGTGGGGGACCGCATGCGAGTGCAGACACTGAGGCCTTCCGGTGGAGCTCCTATGGGGCCTCGAAACGCTGCCCTGGGCGGCGGCGAGCGCCATGCGAGGAGCGCCACTTGGACCTTCGGTGGAGCTCCCTATGGGGCTACGAATCGCTGCCCTGGGTGGGGGAACCGCATGCGAACTGCGCCACTGGGGCCTTCGGTGGAGCTCCCTATGGTGCCACGAAACGCTGCCCTGGGCGGGGGAAGCGCATGCGAACTGCGCCACGGGGGCTTTCGGTGGAGCTCCCCATGGGGCCACGAAGCGCTGCCCTGGGTGGGGGACCGCATGCGAGAGCAGCCACTGGGGCCTCCGGTGGAGCTCCCTATGGGGCCACGAAACGCTGCCCTGGGTGGGGGAACCGCATGCGAACACCCCCACTGGGGCCTTCGGTGGAGCTCCCTATGGGGCTACGAAACGCTGCCCTGGCTGGGGGAACCGCATGCGAACACCCCCACTGGGGCCTTCGGTGGAGCTCCCTATGGGGCCACGAAACGCTGCCCTGAGTGGGGGAACCGCATGCGAACACCCCCACTGGGGCCTTCAGTGGAGCTCCCTATGGGGCTACGAAACGCTGCCCTGGGTGGGGGAACCGCATGCGAACACCCCCTCTGGGGCCTTCGGTGGAGCTCCCTATGGGGCCACGAAACGCTGCCCTGGGTGGGGGAACCGCATGCGAACACCCCCACTGGGGCCTTCGGTGGAGCTCCCTATGGGGCTACGAAACGCTGCCCTGGGTGGGGGAACCGCATGCGAACACCCCCACTGGGGCCTTCGGTGGAGCTCCCTATGGGGCCACGAAACGCTGCCCTGGTTGGGGGAACCGCATGCGAACACCCCCACTGGGGCCTTCGGTGGAGCTCCCTATGGGGCTACGAAACGCTGCCCTGGGTGGGGGAACCGCATGCGAACACCCCCACTGGGGCCTTCGGTGGAGCTCCCTATGGGGCCACGAAACGCTGCCCTGGGTGGGGGAACCGCTTGCGAGAGCAGCCTCTGGGGCCTTCGGTGGAGCCCCCTATGGGGCCACGAAGCGCTGCCCTGGGTGGGGGAACCGCATGCGAACACCCCCACTGGGGCCTTCGGTGGAGCTCCCTATGGGGCTACGAAACGCTGCCCTGGGTGGGGAAACCGCATGCGAACACCCCCACTGGGGCCTTCGGTGGAGCTCCCTATGGGGCCACGAAACGCTGCCCTGGGTGGGGGAACCGCATGCGAACACCCCCACTGGGGCCTTCGGTGGAGCTCCCTATGGGGCCACGAAACGCTGCCCTGGGTGGGGGAACCGCATGCGAACACCCCCACTGGGGCCTTCGGTGGAGCTCCCTATGGGGCTACGAAACGCTGCCCTGGGTGGGGGAACCGCATGCGAACACCCCCACTGGGGCCTTCGGTGGAGCTCCCTATGGGGCTACGAAACGCTGCCCTGGGTGGGGGAACCGCATGCGAACACCCCCACTGGGGCCTTCGGTGGAGCTCCCTATGGGGCCACGAAACGCTGCCCTGGGTGGGGGAACCGCATGCGAACACCCCCACTGGGGCCTTCGGTGGAGCTCCCTATGGGGCTACGAAACGCTGCCCTGGGTGGGGGAACCGCATGCGAACACCCCCACTGGGGCCTTCGGTGGAGCTCCCTATGGGGCCACGAAACGCTGCCCTGGGTGGGGAACCGCATGCGAACACCCCACTGGGGCCTTCGTGGAGCTCCCTATGGGGCCACGAAGCGCTGCCCTGGGTGGGGGAACCGCATGCGAACACCCCCACTGGGGCCTTCGGTGGAGCTCCCTATGGGGCCACGAAACGCTGCCCTGGGTGGGGAACCGCATGCGAACACCCCCACTGGGGCCTTCGGTGGAGCTCCTATGGGCCACGAAGCGCATGCGGAACTTCGGTGGAGCTCCCTATGGGGCTACGAAACGCTGCCCTGGGTGGGGGAACCGCATGCGAACACCCCCACTGGGGCCTTCGGTGGAGCTCCCTATGGGGCCACGAAACGCTGCCCTGGGTGGGGGAACCGCATGCGAACACCCCCACTGGGGCCTTCGGTGGAGCTCCCTATGGGGCCACGAAACGCTGCCCTGGGTGGGGGAACCGCATGCGAACACCCCCACTGGGGCCTTCGGTGGAGCTCCCTATGGGGCCACGAAACGCTGCCCTGGGTGGGGGAACCGCATGCGAACACCCCCACTGGGGCCTTCGGTGGAGCTCCCTATGGGGCTACGAAACGCTGCCCTGGGTGGGGGAACCGCATGCGAACACCCCCACTGGGGCCTTCGGTGGAGCTCCCTATGGGGCCACGAAACGCTGCCCTGGGTGGGGGAACCGCATGCGAACACCCCCACTGGGGCCTTCGGTGGAGCTCCCTATGGGGCCACGAAACGCTGCCCTGGGTGGGGGAACCGCATGCGAACACCCCCACTGGGGCCTTCGGTGGAGCTCCCTATGGGGCTACGAAACGCTGCCCTGGGTGGGGGAACCGCATGCGAACACCCCCACTGGGGCCTTCGGTGGAGCTCCCTATGGGGCCACGAAACGCTGCCCTGGGTGGGGGAACCGCATGCGAACACCCCCACTGGGGCCTTCGGTGGAGCTCCCTATGGGGCTACGAAACGCTGCCCTGGGTGGGGGAACCGCATGCGAACACCCCCACTGGGGCCTTCGGTGGAGCTCCCTATGGGGCCACGAAACGCTGCCCTGGGTGGGGGAACCGCATGCGAACACCCCCACTGGGGCCTTCGGTGGAGCTCCCTATGGGGCTACGAAACGCTGCCCTGGGTGGGGGAACCGCATGCGAACACCCCCACTGGGGCCTTCGGTGGAGCTCCCTATGGGGCCACGAAACGCTGCCCTGGGTGGGGGAACCGCATGCGAACACCCCCACTGGGGCCTTCGGTGGAGCTCCCTATGGGGCCACGAAACGCTGCCCTGGGTGGGGGAACCGCATGCGAACACCCCCACTGGGGCCTTCGGTGGAGCTCCCTATGGAGCCACGAAGCGCTGTAATGGGTGGGTGAAACGCAGAGAGGAGGGAGGAGAGGGAGGAGGAGGGAGGAGGAGGGGGAGGAGGAGGAGAGGAGGAGAGGAGGAGAGGAGAGGACGCGGGCACCGTCTCTTCAAAACGAGGACCCAACACCACAGGATGGTTGGGAAAAATACAACTGTGCACCGGAGGGGGGATCAACAATAATTATTCAAATAATTATTCTTGAGTGAGAGTTCAACAACATCAAACAACAGCAACAACAACAACAACAACAAACAACAATAAAAACAGCAGCAGCAGCAGCAGCAACAACAACAAAAGAAACCAACATAATCAACACCAAAAAATATTCGAACCCAGCACCTCGAACCTGCCCCCAGCCCTCCTGCTGGCCGAAACCAGTGCTGGGCCACATCAGACCCACAGCCGGCTCCAAACCACACCCACAGAGAGAGAGAGAGATACATATATATATATATATATAAATATGTATGTAAATCTATGTATATGTATATATATATATATGAATATAGATATTCATTTGAAGGGCGGTCGCGGCCTCGCGCGCAGCGTCGAAGCGGCCAAAATCAAGACGACGGCTGGGGCCCCGCGCACGCCAGGCTCAGAGGGAAGCAACGCCATATGCCACACACACACACACACACACACATACATACACACACACACACACACACACGCGCGCGCACAGGGCCAACACGCGCCCTAAGTTCCATCGGAGGGGGGGCCACGCGCACAGCGGCGTGGCGGCCCACACGCGCCAGCTCGCGCGCGGCACACCGCGTGCGATCGGGGGCGCCCGCGTGAGGCCCCGCGCGGGCAGCTTGCGCGCGGGTGCCCGCGCAACTGGCCCCCCCCCCGACCCCCTCTCTGGCTGCAGCGCTCGCCTGGCCCCTGCGCCCGTCGGAGGCGCGAGTGCCTGCACAGCCGGACCCCCCCCCTACCCCACCCCCGTCTGGCTGCGGCGCCCACCTGGCCCCTGCGCTCGTCGGAGAGGGCGTCCACGAAGACCTCCCGAGGGGGCAGAATTTGCCCGCGGGCCCACTCCTGGCGTGCTCCCGGCCAGCTGTGAGCACGCTCCAAGCCAGCTCTGGCGTGCTCCATGCCAACCTCAGCATGCTTCGAGCCCGAGGGGGACAGAAATATGCTCCCCAGATCGTTCCCGGGGCCTGCTCCGGCCACAAAATTCCAAGGCAGACACGGCGGTGCCAACAAGGGCCCCCACCCATGAGGGGGCAGGGCATCGGTGTCGGTCTGCTGTCCTCCCCTGAGACCTCCCGACCCAGGTCCGCTCAGAATCGGCCCCCGGGCCCCTCGCGGGGTCCACCCCTTCCGTCCCGGTGCGATCTCTGACTCTCTAACGGCCATGGGGCCAGAAAACTACCTCCAGGCATCGAGAACGGCCAAGCTCTCTCCTCGAAGTTTGATTATGTTTCGACGCCTTTGCGCTCAGGTCTGAGCGGGCGGAGCTGCATCTTCAGTTCTTTTATTTTAAATTACTTCTCCCTGTCGCACCCCGACGCCAGTGATTAGGGCGGGCCGGGCGTTTCGCCTGAGACTTCCTCACCACTTGTGACTCTGAAGTTGAAAAAGTGGCAACAGTTTCACGGATTGAGGGCGGGTCGTGTTCAAAATGTGGCTCTCGCCTTGGCGCCGCGCATATTCGTGCTTACAAATAGCAAGAGCTGCACGGATTGAGGGCGGGTCGTTTTCAAAATGTGGCTCTCGCCGTAGCGCCGCGCACACTCGTTTTAAACAATTGCAAAAGCTTCACGGATTGAGGGCGGTTCTTTTTCAAACTGTGGCTCTCGCCTCAGCGCTGCGCGCTTCACGGATTTCCATGATCAACGTACCAGATTCAGGATTCTGCGTTATGCGGGTGCAAGATATATGTTGACTCACGGTGTTGAAGTCCCCAAAACGGCGTTGTGGCACGATTCCATATCGTCAGGACGCAGCAATCAAGTTGATCCGTGGCGTGGAAGTCCCGAGAACAATGTTGTGGTATGCTTCAAGGTCTTCAAACGGTTGTCTTCCAACGAGGCAGTTCCCTCAATGGAAATGAACCGTTGTAGGGGCCTATGAAGAGGGAACTTGGAGGGAGGGTTAATTCCAACATCGTTGGTAACTCTTGGGTTTACACTGGTGCTCCTCTTCCTCCTCCTCCTCCTCCTCCTCTTCCTCTCTTTCCTCCTCCTCCTCCTCGTCCTCCTCCTCCTCCTCCTCCTCCTCCTCCTCCTCCTCCTCCTCCTGATTCCCGACTCCTGTCGGCATAGATGTTTGCAGACGCAGCCGCTTCCCCCAGGGAGGCCCAGTCAGGCCCCCCTCGGGGAGTAGACAAAAACGTAAAGGACGAAGGACCAAGGTCCCGCTGACGGGAGGGAGGGAGGAGGAGAGACGATCGTCATCATCATACCTCACTATATCACCATAACCTCTAGAGGAAAGGGAAAAAGGAAGGTCTGAGGCGGCCCCGTGGCGTGGGCGGCGCGCGGCGCGAGGGGGCCCCGCGGGGCCCCGCGTCGAAGGGTCTTCTTCCCCTCTGGGATCCCCTGGCCTCCCGGGGCCAGTGCCCAGGGGGCGCCCGAGGTTCCCCTTCCGCAGAGGTGCCCTGGGAAAACGGAAGGTAAAGGTGGCGAAGTGGCAGCAGGCTGAAGGGCGAAAACGCGACAGGCGAGGGCACTGTGCATGGAGGTTGGCTGAAAATGCGGCAGGGTGGCGGCGTCGGCTAAAAGGGGTGCGGCGCGGAGATTATTCCGCGGGGCCATCTGCGGGGTGCCGCTCGCAACGTGAAAAGGCCCAAGGGCCTTACCCTCTGCCCATAGAAAGCCCCCGCGCTCGTCCAAGAGGCCGACGGTGGGATCCCTCGCCTGCAAGCAGGCGTAGGGTTCCCAGCACGTCGGCCGCTTGGCCGCCATGGGGGGGTTCCACCGAGCGCGAGAGGGGTTTGGGCCCTCCCCCCATGGTGGCGCGAAGCACCGGCCACTCTCGCCAAGGTAGACGGCAGAAGGGCAACACACACACACACACACACCCTGCACATAGGAAATCACCCTAAGCAGCCACCATCCCGATGACTGGCACCCTCCCCCGCCGAGGCAGGAGTAGGGTACCCAGATCATGGGAGCGGTGGCTGCTTGGGGGGTATCCACCGTGCGTTGGGGTGGTTTCTGCCACCCTGTGGCGGTGGCGCGGGTTTGCGGTCATACTGTAGCAGACGGTCGAGGACCGCAGCTGCTCAGCTGACCGCGGAGGTTGGGTGGGATGGGAACCTGAAGGTTCGCAGCCAAGAAAAATGAAGCTGGGTGGAGGCACAAATGAAGCTGAAAGAGTGAAAGTGAAAATGACCGTGAAAAATAAAGAACGAATTATCCTGGCGAAAGACCCAACCATAAGCAATTGTTGGTAACGCGTTGTGGGTGCCGCTTTCGGTGGGGTTCCATATGGGGCCACGAAGCGCTGCCTTGGATGGGGGAACCGCATGCGGACTGCGCCACCGGGGCGGGCCGGTGGAGCTCCCTATGGTGGAGCTCCCTATGGGGCTACGAAACGCTGCCCTGGGTGGCTGGGAACCGCATGCGAACTGCGCCACTGGGGCCTTCGGTGGAGCTCCCTATGGTGCCACGAAACGCTGCCCTGGGTGGGGGAACCGCATGCGAGAGCGCCACTGGGGCCTTCGGTGGAGCTCCCTATGGGGCCACGAAGCGCTGCCCTGGGTGGGGGAACCGCATGCGAACACCCCCACTGGGGCCTTCGGTGGAGCTCCCTATGGGGCCACGAAACGCTGCCCTGGGTGGGGGAACCGCATGCGAACACCCCCACTGGGGCCTTCGGTGGAGCTCCCTATGGGGCTACGAAACGCTGCCCTGGGTGGGGGAACCGCATGCGAACACCCCCACTGGGGCCTTCGGTGGAGCTCCCTATGGGGCCACGAAACGCTGCCCTGGGTGGGGGAACCGCATGCGAACACCCCCACTGGGGCCTTCGGTGGAGCTCCCTATGGGGCTACGAAACGCTGCCCTGGGTGGGGGAACCGCATGCGAACACCCCCACTGGGGCCTTCGGTGGAGCTCCCTATGGGGCCACGAAACGCTGCCCTGGGTGGGGGAACCGCATGCGAACACCCCCACTGGGGCCTTCGGTGGAGCTCCCTATGGGGCTACGAAACGCTGCCCTGGGTGGGGGAACCGCATGCGAACACCCCCACTGGGGCCTTCGGTGGAGCTCCCTATGGGGCCACGAAACGCTGCCCTGGGTGGGGGAACCGCATGCGAACACCCCCACTGGGGCCTTCGGTGGAGCTCCCTATGGGGCTACGAAACGCTGCCCTGGGTGGGGGAACCGCATGCGAACACCCCCACTGGGGCCTTCGGTGGAGCTCCCTATGGGGCCACGAAACGCTGCCCTGGGTGGGGGAACCGCATGCGAACACCCCCACTGGGGCCTTCGGTGGAGCTCCCTATGGGGCCACGAAACGCTGCCCTGGGTGGGGGAACCGCATGCGAACACCCCCACTGGGGCCTTCGGTGGAGCTCCCTATGGGGCTACGAAACGCTGCCCTGGGTGGGGGAACCGCATGCGAACACCCCCACTGGGGCCTTCGGTGGAGCTCCCTATGGGGCCACGAAACGCTGCCCTGGGTGGGGGAACCGCATGCGAACACCCCCACTGGGGCCTTCGGTGGAGCTCCCTATGGGGCTACGAAACGCTGCCCTGGGTGGGGGAACCGCATGCGAACACCCCCACTGGGGCCTTCGGTGGAGCTCCCTATGGGGCCACGAAACGCTGCCCTGGGTGGGGGAACCGCATGCGAACACCCCCACTGGGGCCTTCGGTGGAGCTCCCTATGGGGCCACGAAACGCTGCCCTGGGTGGGGGAACCGCATGCGAACACCCCCACTGGGGCCTTCGGTGGAGCTCCCTATGGGGCTACGAAACGCTGCCCTGGGTGGGGGAACCGCATGCGAACACCCCCACTGGGGCCTTCGGTGGAGCTCCCTATGGGGCCACGAAACGCTGCCCTGGGTGGGGGAACCGCATGCGAACACCCCCACTGGGGCCTTCGGTGGAGCTCCCTATGGGGCTACGAAACGCTGCCCTGGGTGGGGGAACCGCATGCGAACACCCCCACTGGGGCCTTCGGTGGAGCTCCCTATGGGGCCACGAAACGCTGCCCTGGGTGGGGGAACCGCATGCGAACACCCCCACTGGGGCCTTCGGTGGAGCTCCCTATGGGGCCACGAAACGCTGCCCTGGGTGGGGGAACCGCATGCGAACACCCCCACTGGGGCCTTCGGTGGAGCTCCCTTTGGAGCCACGAAGCGCTGTAATGGGTGGGTGAAACGCAGAGAGGAGGGAGGAGAGGGAGGAGGAGGGAGGAGGAGGGGGAGGAGGAGGAGAGGAGGAGAGGAGGAGAGGAGAGGACGCGGGCACCGTCTCTTCAAAACGAGGACCCAACACCACAGGATGGTTGGGAAAAAATGAAAACGAGTCCGAAGGTACACGGCAGGAGGTGAGGGTGGTCATCTGGGTGCTGAAGGCTGCTTGTTGCTACCGCTTGGCGGCTGCGGCCGCGTCCGCCCTGGCCCTAGCCTGGGCAGCCGGCGGCGTGTCCGTTCCCGCCCCCCGCCCAGTACTGCTAGGTCCAACCCGCTCTTCACAACAAGAGAGGGGTGTTGAGAAGGTTAGTTGAGTACGGTGGGGAGGAGACGGGGCTGCAAGCACGCAAGCCTTGTCGCCACGGATGTTCACGCCGCATTGTGCTGCCTGTCCCAGTGGTGCCTCACGAAGTGGGTGAGAAAGCCCAGCAGGGCTGTAGGGTACTGCCGTAGAGAAGGAAGAATCCCAACCACCAGCTGTGCTGCTTCCGTCACGCGGTGAATGCGTACGTGTCGGTAAAAGGATACCGCGGATACGGGAATGGTTAGGTAGCAGCTGGCGGTCCTTCCCGTTTGCTGTGAGAAACGATATAGGTATGCGAAGATATTGCGCACTGACTGACCGCCGATGGACCCGTCCAATTGCGAGGCGTGCCTCGGCGCTGTGGGAGATCAGGGGGGAGCCTCCTGACGCGCCGTGGATGGGTCGTGCTGGTCGCGCTGGTTCGCTGTGACAGCGTCTGCGAAGGTCGGCCAAGGTTTCCACCAGGTCGGGGCCGTAGACTGGGAAGGCCTCCTTGTCCGTCTCCTGCTGGTCGCTCTGGTGGATGATGCGGTGGTGTCCGTCTGTAGGCTGAGACGTCCGCGGCTTCCGTTCGTAAGCCGTGTAGTACGCGTCCCAGTCTGCACCGTTGTCTGTAGTGCAATCGTCGTGGGTGGTATGCTGTGCGTTCTGGTTTGGATATCGTCGGCGCCGTGCGGTCCAACCAC